CAGGTTCGAGGTCTCGAGGCACATCCAGGTGCATTGCCTTTGGCCCAGGTTCGAGGTCTCGAGGCACATCCAGGTGCATTGCCTTCGGCCCAGGTTCGAGGTCTCGAGGCACATCTAGGTGCATTGCCTTCGGCCCAGGTTCGAGGTCTCAAGGCACATCTAAGTGCATTGCCTTCGGCCCAGGTACGAGGTCTCGAGGCACATCTAAGTGCATTGCCTTCGGCCCAGGTACGAAGTCTCGAGGCACAATCAAGTACATTGCCTTCGGCCCAGGTTCGAGGTCTCGAGCCTTCGACCCAGGTTCGAGGCTTTGGGGGTCCCGAGTTTGTGGGATCCGAGACAGCACAGCGAGAGGCACCAATATCGACCCAGACAGAGGCTTGCTTTGTTCAGAATGAATGCACCGTAGGGTACCCAACGGGAACGACCAGCATGTGCCCCGGTGGTATGGGAGTGCAACCTGGGCAAGGTATAACCGTATGGGTAGATGGAGTACCTCGGGTTGCTGTAGTGGGTCCTAGGGGTTTGGAAATAAGTGGATCATCGGCGGGGGATCTGAGGAATCCCTTTAGTGGGGAAGGGAGACATCCATTAGTGCCAATAGAGTTTAGAGTACATGGACAGTGTGAATCCCCTCCGCCACCACCACCTCCTAGGAACCCTTCTCCAATAAGGTTTTCCCCTGCAACCCCGAATGGAACGAGAATCCCTAAAGGCCCTCCTCCTGCTGATAGCTTGGAATGGCCTGACTGGACTAGACCCATGAACGAGGTTGGTACCACCTTAGGGAATTTTGTGCCACCTCCACCGTTACCTTGTGAGATGAGGGGAAGTGATGGATCGAGGGGGAGCGAGGGTCAAGGCAGACCCGAGGAACCGTCACGTTCGGTCACCGATCTCCCAGAACTACAGGCATTTACTCCACAAGAGGGGAGTGTGTTAGCCGGTGACTGGATCACTCAACAGTCTCCAGTCATCGGCACTATGTCGGCCACGTCGGGTGTGTGGTGGGCGGAGGTTCTGAGGGAAGCCTATCACCTTTACACCAGATGGCTTGTGGCTGACCCCGTGCAGAGGCTTAGCATCAAGGCCGAAGCCACGTGCAGCCTGACACCAACTTCTCGACATGTGCTTGTTGAGCAACGGCTCACGGTGTTACTCATGAGAGCAGTTCCAACCGAGATTAGAGCGGAGCTGGTAGCTGTAAGGGCCATGAGCTCGTTGGCGGTGGTAGTTGCCGTCCTATGCAGGTATCAACCTGGCGGACCAAATGAGCGTGCCAACGTTCTTGCTTTCCTGGTTGCCCCGGAGCGCCCGAACAGCATCGAAAATGGCATTGCAACTTGCCGGAGATGGTTGAGACAACTTCAACGGGCAAAAGAACTGGGTCTCATGTTGCCAGATGCCACGTTGCTTATAAAAGGGGCAGACGCACTTCTTGGACCAGTCCTCACGAAGAGTCAACAGGCTTCTTTCAGACTGAACTCGTTTAGGAACGAGAGAAAGCTTGATTATGCTCCTGCTTTTGAGTCTATTGTGGCCTTTGGGCAACTAATTTTGGCCGAGTACGAGTTGTTGCAGCACAGTGAGCCCGGAGAACCAAAGAAACCCAAGATTAACAAGGTGCAAGAAAATGATGAGGAGGGTCAGCCTAAAGGGGGTAAAGGGAAGCAAGGGTCAGGGAAGTCCAGTGCGACGGATGCTGGCACTGGCAAGGGTGCCAAACCTGGCAGCTACAGTAAGGAACTGGGCAAGGCCACTTGCAAGTACTGGTGCGTAACAGACTTGGGTTGCGTTAAGGCATCTAGGTGTCCCGACTTGCACAGCAAAGAGCTGTTGAAGGGCACCACTCGCTGTTGGGTATGCTCGAGCACACAGCACCAGAAGCAAGATTGCCCCAGGCTTGCCAAAGAAGCATCTGAGGAGTCAGGGCCTAAAGGAAAGGGTAATAAGAATAAACCTGAACCCAAAGTTAAGGCTGCTAAGGAGGAAGAAGCTACTCCTACCCTAGCCCCTAGTGCCCAGCAGTTGTTGCAGGACACGGCAGCTCTGCTCAAGAATCTCAAGATAAAAAAGATAGACACAGGTCGTGCCTCAGCAAGGGCGCTCTTAGACTCCGGTGCCACGGCTTGTATGCGTACTGCGCGGCCTGGCGAACTCACAGGACTGCCTGAGCGAACGGTGCAGCTTGCCCAGGGGGAGGTAAGGTTGAGAGTCAATGAAGGGGGAACTTTGTTGACTTCAGAGCCGGTGGATCCCATTGTGTCCTTGCACAAGCTTTGCCAGATCGGGTACCGGGTTGATTGGAGTAGGGAAGGAGGCTGCCAGGTGAGGTGCCCAGGGCGGATGGCCTTACGTGTGTACACTGATAACGGTTGTCCAGAAGTTGAACGCCAAGCAGGGTTGGACCTGATTCAAGAGATTGAGGTCTTCCAGGTCCGCAATGCCCAAGCATTGAGGTCTCTTCGGGATAAAGGTGGTGGGGAAGTAAGCTTTAAGGAGGCACTCAGGGCGCTTCCAGTTGACTCGTCAGTGGCTCTTAAGTGGCTTCCGTTCCCTCCGAGGTTCTGGCACGAATCCCTGTAACGTCCAGTTACGATGCATCCAAGGTTGCCTGGAATCGTAGGCAGCGACGGACCTGGCTGAGGTCCAAGGCAATAGCCCTTCACCTGTTTTCGGGGCCCCAGAAAAAGTTCTGGGAGCTCCCTCGTCAGAATGCGCACTGCGTATGCGTGGATATACAGGAGAACCTCCTGGACGACCAAACGTTTTCCTTCCTGGAAAGCATGGCCTTGTCTGGCCGACTGTGTGCAGTGTTGGGAGGACCTCCCTGCAAGACCTTTTCGCTTTCGCGGTATATGCCGCCTGGACTGCCTCGGCCTTTGAGGGGTAGGTCCAAGGATACTCAGTGGGGTTTTGGACATCTAACACCTAGTGAAAAGGAGGCCATTACCACTGATGGAGTGCTAATGTTCCGAATGGTGTGGCTGTATCTGATTGCGGAAGCCATGGCTGAAGAGCTTAATCTGCCTAGGCCATTCTTTGGGTTAGAACACCCTAAAGATCCGGAAACTTGGGCGTCTCCTGCCGAGTTGGGTTTTGAACCGCCCCCCGATGGCTTTGCGTCGTGTTGGGCTTTGGATGCCATCAAGGACTTGGCTGGACAACACGATTTGTGTTACTGGCATCTTGACCAAGGCCCTTTGGGCCACGAAAAACGGAAGCCTACCACGATCCTTTCGAGCATCCCTCCTCCGCCAGATGTGCAAGTTTCGGGTCCTGGCCATGGGATTCGTGAAGCCGGAGATCCAGCTGCAGGCTCTTGGCCGTCCTCTGCGTGGGCAGCTTGGGCGCCCGGTCTGAAGACCATCTTGAAGCGGGAAGTCCTGTCAGTGGTAGATGCATGGTCCTCTGAGAGGTGCAACGCATTACGTGAGCATGAGAACTTCTTGAGGCATGTTGTCCAAGGTCATATGGATTTCAGGAGGGACTGTGCAGCATGCTTGGCGGGTGCCGCCCGAGGCGCGAGACATAACGACATAACCGCAGGTCGGTGCATGATGCATGGGTTTTACATGTAGATTTGATGGGGCCCTTCGCAGAAGGGTTGGATGAGCACGGTAAGGTTAGATATGCCTTGACAGGGATACTTACTGTTCCCGATTTGACCCGTGTGGCAGATGCCGTGAATGCATCTGATGACCTTGCAGCAGGCCCTGAGGTATCTGACGCACTAGGTTCTCAGGAAGGGGGGAGTCAAGTCCCTATGTCTTCTTTGGGCCCTCCTCCGGCCATACCACTTCTTGCCCTTCCTCCAATAACCGAAGGTGACCCGGATGATGAGCTTCGTGACTATACACCTTCAGAACCTGGACAGCCCGAGGACGTCATGGCTCTCAGACCGGAGGAGGAAGAAATGCCAGAGACTGAGGCAGAAGCACGGGCTGCAGCTAGAGCTAACGAACAATGGCAGGCAGCTGCCCTGGCACTCAAGCTGGAGGAATGTCCCGTCATTGAGATTCCTTTGGTGCGCATGCTGGCCGACAAGTCTCAACAGGCTGTCTCCCAAGGCCTAGCTGCCATGATCGCCCACCTTAAGTATGAAGGTTTTATGATTAGGCGCATCCACTCCGATAGGGGACGTGAGTTCAATAACGGATTGGTTCAACGCCTTTGCCGTCAGAGGGAGATGCATCAAACCTTTACTCAAGGGGATGACCCCCAGCAGAATGGTCGCGTTGAGAGCTATCATGCTCGCCTCAAGGCCAAGACGAGAACTCTCCTCAGAGGGGCATCTGCCGAGGCTCAGGACTGGCCTTACGCCATGCGCACCGCACATGCAGCCATGTGGGGTCGAGCGTTGAGCAAGCTTGGCCGCCAGGCCTGGCAACCCTTGCCTTTCGGAACTCAGGTCAAGGTTCGTACCCGGTCTTGGGAAAGGTATGGAGATGTGTGGTCAGATCGAGTTCAAGATGCCACGATCTTAGCACCCTCGGTCGAGACTTGCAAGGGGCATGTTGTACGAACGTCTGAGGGAACCCTCTTGCACACCACTGCCGTGTTTCGGGGATCCGTGCAGTCCTCCCCGATCCCAGTGATTTCTTCCGATGTGGTTTTGCCTGCTCGGACAAGAGAAGCTCCGCTTCCCGTGTCCAGTCCGGCCGAGGCAGAAATTGTTGTCTCCTTCCCTCCGACCGTTTCGGACACTGCCCCCACTCGTCGCATTTCAGGCAAACGGGATCCTGCAACAGCCAAGGTAGTGAACCTTCGCACAACAGGTAAGGCAGAGGCTTGTGCCTTGTCTGCTGCTGCTGCGGCTATGTTGTCCTGCCAACCTGTTCCGTTCCGCACAGCCTCTGCGCTGCTCGTATCTGCTCCTGCGTTGCGTGAGCTTGCTCGTGCTCTTCCGTCTCGCCTATCTGCAGGCCAGTCTTCTGCGTACCTATTGTTTGGGTGGTTTAAGCATGGAGGCCTTACCGGCGTGAGCGCTGCCACTGGCATGATGCCTGGTGTGGTCGAGCTCCTTAACACCCTGCTAGAGCGAGCTCACCCCGATGGGCTTTGGACCACCCTCGGTTTGTTTTTTAATGCTGCTGCTGGCCCCCACGTGGATCGCCGGAATGCCAAGGACACATGCAACTATGTCTTGCCTTTGGCTTTGCCGTCGTCTGAGCAATACCTGTGGGTCAAAAATCCTCGTGGTGTCGCCTTGGATCCCCTAGCCTTTCTTTGCAATGATGGGTCCATACAGCAAGGATATCGCCTTCCCCTGCGAGTCGGAGAGCCTGTTTGTGTGGATCCTCACTCCTTACATGCACTGCCAGCGCCCCTGCCCCATGAGGCTGAGCAAGATCATGTTCTGCTTGTGGGTTTTTCAATTCCTTGGATTCACCGGGCCAGTGAACAACAGCGCAGTCTCTTGCAGTCCCTTCGTTTTCGACTGGAGCCCAGTCGAGGGGGAGTCAGTACAGACAATTTGGGTCCAGCAAATTTAGCTTCAGTTGAGCCGTCCTCCCCTACACAAGAAAAAGTTTTTATGGCGTCTGAAGAAGAAAGTAGACATGAATTTGGTCCAGGGCTGCTGGAGGGTTGCATTGTAGAAGAGGGACACCAACAACTTAGGGATAAATCCCAAGGAGGTGAGTGGGAGGTCGCAGACATACAACAAGATGTGCAGGACGACACTGCAGCGGAAGGCAGCACCACATTAAGGGGAGCATATGCCCGCAGGTTGGAGACTAGAGTTTTTGAGCCTTCGGACTGGGATCGGGTGCAACGATACCTTGTGGGGTTGGGTTTAAGACATCTTGTGGAGTCGATTGACGCCCTTGGAGTGGACAGCATGGAAGACTTTGGCTTCCTATATCGTGAGGATTTGATGGAGGCGGGTGCGTCGAAGGAGGAGGCAGAAGCAATCCTTGGATGCACCAACGCAGAAAAGGACGGTAGGTCCGACGGACCGGCCCAGGCAAGGGCAGGATTCCAGCGTCCCAGTCGCCGCATAGCTCCAGAACGGCCTGCAACAGCTGCTCGCTTGGTGAGGGTCCCTGACCGAGCCAACCTGATAAGGGAGAAACTCCAAGTACAGGAGCTGAAATAGGTAGGTCTGAAGGTCAGAGTTGCGCCTCTGGTGTAAGGGATACGCAACGCAGGTCAGGAAATCTGCCCGGAACATCGAGCACAGGTGCAGCCGCAGGCAGTCTAGACGCCGAGGCCAAGGAGTCAGGTCCAGGTGTTGACTTGGAAGGGCCCGGCGGGTCGGCCACCATGAAGGGAGATAGCGTAGCTTGGAGTGGCACGGTTTATGGAGCCAACGCCCAAGGTGAAGCCCACACTAGGGAAGTGTCGGCTGAACCCTTGGGTCGTTTTGTTCCCCGGGATGAGGTCGAGGCCTCCCTTGTGTTAGGCATACCTTTAGGTCGCCAGGGTTTAAAGTTTACGCCGTGCGCTCAAATGCACGCACAAGCTACCTCAACGCGGGTTGTCCCTTCGCCGCGTATGAAGAACCAGCTTCACCTGACTCTGGATGTAGGGCCCAAGCAGCTGAATGCTCGAGGGTTTAATGCCCGAAAGGCTGCCTACGGACAGGAAGGTACCGAGTTGGTCCCTGTGGCGACAGTGCCCGAATCCCTAGGGTTTAGACCTGATCCTCACGATACATCTAGGCAGACCCCCGAGTCCCTAAGGTTTAGACCTGATCCCCACGATACCTCTAGGCAGACACCCGAGTCCATAGGGTTTAGGCCAGAGAGCAATCCCTGCCCCTCTGGAGCGGAAGCATCGATTTGCAGCTTGCCCCTTGCAGCCCTAGTCTGTAGACCCATAAGGGAACAAGGTTCGGATGGGACAGTTGAGGAGGCTGACATTGTGGTGGAGGACTTAGAGCTGTGTGCCAGGCCAGGGGGAGTGCAGAGAGTCGGGGAGCACCTTGACCAAGTTGCTGTGGAACTGCGACATCTGTGTGAACAGCAACGCCAAATTGTTTTGGGTGAAGCTGACAAGGGCCTAGACTGTAGCCACGAGGTTCAGGAACTGAACCGCTTGGTTGTACTCGAGGAAGAGCTGGCGCAAGAGCTTGCTGCCACCAGGGGGGACGACTCACTTCGAGGTCGCCGGAAGAAAGGATCTCGATGCTGAGATTGTGCAGCACTCAGAGTGACGTGGGTGGTGGCTGTGAGGCGGTCGTAGAAGGCCGAAGCGAGAGCGATCCTCCTTTGCAGACGAGGATTGTCTCTGTGGAGGAAGTGCTCAGAGACCTTGAGGGCTGGTGGAGCCCCATGCTGGCTGAATATGAGGCGCTGGTACATGAGAAACAAGTGGTAGTGCCTGTTACAGCCAAGGAATTGAATAGGCGAGAGGCATCTGGTGAAACCTTCCAAGTCATTCCGGCCAAACTGATTTTTTCCTTAAAAGCATTTACGGCGAGACGCAAAGTGCGGTGCGTAGCGTGCGGAAACTACCTTGGGGAAGGTATCTACACTCCAAGTCAACTCTATGCGAGTGGCTTGGATGCAGTATCTCTTCGCATTTGCCTTGTGCTTATGGTCCATAGACAGTGGTCGGCAGGAATCGTAGATATAAAAACAGCTTTTTTGAACGCGGAATTGGAAAAGGAAGATCTCGGCGCCAAACGGATTATCATCCGAACACCAGGTCTGTGGCGCCGCCTCGGCATCTGCACAGAGACCTTCTGGGACGTCCAGAAGGCGCTCTACGGTTTGCAAATAAGCCCGGCGGCTTGGGCGAGATACCGTGATCGTACCTTGCCGGTCCTTCGGCTCGCCACCCGGTCGGGTGTGGTAAAGTTGCTTCGATTCAAATCGGATGGCAACATTTGGGAAATTGTGCCGGCCGAAAGTTCAGACCCGGTCGACCCCTCGTTAAGGGTAGGGCTGCTGTTAGTGTATGTAGATGACATGATGATCATAAGCACACCGGCCATCATTGCAGATGTCATTTCGGAACTGGGTAAGAAATGGGAACTTTCCGCCCCGGAAATGCTAGAAGAAGGAAATGTACATTACAGAGGAGTTGAGATCCAGAAGGTGGACAATGGAGTCATTGTACATCAGAGATCTTATACACAGGAGCTCCTTTCCAGATACCCTGATAAGGGAGGTGCAGATGTACCAGCCCTCAAGCTTCCTGAGGCCACGCCGGCAAATAAGCAGGACCCTCATGCCGTTCGAGGTGCCCAACAAGTCGCGGGAGAACTTCTCTGGTTGAGCGGGTTAACCAGACCCGAGCTTCAGTTTGCCGTGGGAGCCATCTCCCGGATGATCTCAGTCAATGCAGAGGAGGCCCTGGCTATGGGGGAGCAAGTCATCAAATACCTGCGGCGCTTCCCTGCTCGCGGACTCTGG